TATTTATGCTTATGTTTCTGTATTAACGATGACATCCCAAACGTTTTAAGATGAATAAAAATACGTTTCTTCGAAAATGTTTTAATAACGTATTTATCGTGTTTTTCTGGGAACAAATTCCGCAACCTTTTTATAAAATGAAGTACTATGATTTTCATAAAGCATAAACAAAATCGTTCTTTTCTGGCCGTGATTTTGGGGATGTCACAATAGGAATTAACTAATGGTGGTAAAGATCCAATTACTATAATACTTTTATCACCATTTGAAATTACACTTTAATACCTGTAACTTATAAAGCACATGTAGACTTAGAAAATGAAAACAAAGAACAGAATGTACCTAAAGATTATCAGATGCGTTAGAGGGAGCAAGAATCACCTTCCCATCGCAGATAGTGAGAGAAAAACTAGTTTTCGCCTTTGTATAAACCCGATATGTAGGATTATTTTCAATATATTTTTGCAGGATCTTTTTGGTGATCTGTGTGGTGATGATGGTTGTTGTGGTGACAAACATGGTAGATAGGTTGTTGCGGTGGTGGCAGATGGTGGTTTCCCGCCATGCAAGAAGCAGATGCGGCAGGTAGTTGATCATAGTGGCCGTTGGGTTTTGGAGTTGGTGGCTGAGGTGTATGTTGTGTTGCGGTTATCCTGGTGGTTGAGGTGGATAAGGTGGATGAGGACCTGAGTAAAGTACATCAAAACTCCAGCGCAGTCATCAACACCATTGGAAGGACGTGTATGAGGCGGGTAATGCGGTTCTTCAGGTTGTTGGAGCTGGCCGAATTGTCGCACGTGGTGCGGTTGTGGTAATTAGTTTGATCATATATAGTCATTTCCTGTAAACAAGAGGTAAATAAAATTTCAAACTTGACCTTGCAAACCATTAAACTCTTCTGCGAGGGTAAGATCTTATCACTAACACTGTGGGGATGGCTGAAGCCTGAGGGCTTCTCTACGTTTTCACACTAGTTTAATAAAAATTTACACAACTGGATAACATTGATATATGCCTTAAATTAACATTTACCTTTAATTTCTTCGAAATGATGCTATGAGTAGCCAAAAATCGATTTTACTGTGTTACATTTCTGAAGCAACTTCTAGATTTATTATAGGCGAGGAATACTAATCGTTTGTTTTTGTTGTTACTCCTCCCCAGGCGCGCGACCCGAAACATGACAAATTGTCTTCGACCTTTATAATATCATATCATAGTAAATTATAAAGGAAACATTTTTTCTTTGATCATATTCATTTGAAACTCCCAACTTTTCATATTTCCATACAATATACTTAATTTATTAACTTAAATATGCTTTTAGTTGTAAACATTATCATAAATGAAAGAATTTGTGACTTATCAATATGATATACTTAATTTGCTAACTTCAATATATAGTTAAATAAATAACCTACATTAATATATCAAATAAGTTTAAAATTTAGTATAAAATTTAAAACCTACAGTTAAATATCAAATAATGTCTAAAAAAATTTCAATATATATTTTTTAACATAGTTAAAATGAAAACTTTAAATATAATAATAATAAAAAAACCTAAATTGTTGAATCGAATTAACTAAAAGGTGTCTGAAAACTATATATTCTAACACTATATTTTTAATCGGCATCGCGCAATGCGCGGAAAATCTTCTAGTTAAAATATATTTGAATGAATCTAGGCTAGTTTATTGGTGCATTTATGATTCGGCTAGTTTGGGTGTAGGGAACTTTAATTGTACTGTATTACGTTTGTTGGTTGTGGGCTAAGGAGATGTGGACTTGCAGTTGGGCTTGTTGCTGGGTTCCGAGTTACATAAGTTACCATTAGTCCAAAAAAAAAAAAATTAATGACAAACATTATATGTTATAAAATAGCATAGATGACTAACAAAATGATTGTTACTGAAATCCAAATTTTTGGTTCTTTTTCAGAAACCCTAATTTTTGGTTTCCAATTGTTCACTCCATATTTTGATTCGGATCCAACTTTCGTTGTGATTGTGATCTTTGGTCAGTGGTCAATTCAGATATATGTGTTTCTTATTATTCATTGTTTCTTCTTTCTAATTAAGTTGAATCTAATCGATAAGTTATAATTTTTTCGGCTCACACGCGATATAGTTTGGGATCTCGGCTCTTTAAACTTATATTGTTATTTGTTTTGTTGATCTGAGTGCTTTAACATGGATGAGCATAGGACAAACGTTACGGTTCCAAGAACCCGAAGTACGTCGAGTACCGAAATGGGCGGTAAGTCGATATTGAGCACCAAACCGAATTAGCATTATTGTGGTATTGGTACCGACCATGTACTAGTTTTTAGTATTAGAATCGAACCAAAAAGATAAAATTTTCAACTTGATTGTTTAAAGGGAAATCTATCTAATGGGTGAAAAATGTTATTCTTTTCTTTTTAGTGCTTATAAGAAATACAAACTTCAAGCCACAATAATGTTAAAATTATAATAGTCTTCTTATAATTTGAACCATTGGTTGTCATTTGCTTATTTACGTGATTTAGTAAATGAACAACTAGGTACTTAACAAACTCAAAGCTTTTAATTAATTTTCTATGTCTTTTGTGTACAACAACCAAGCTGTATAAAAGAATTATTAGCAATATTGGTGACGCATATCGCCCCTAACAGTCTTGTTTGTCGCCACTAAAGGTTATAGCCGCAACATGTCGTTGTTGATGTCATCGCTAATATAGGTTGTCACCGCTACTGCTCATGTATTTATTTGTTTTTAACCGTGTGCCAAATGACTAGCCCATTTGGTAGAGACTTTGTCTCTTAGATTAGAGTTAGGCCTCGGGTTCTAATCTAGACGTTGGTGATTTCTTCGAACTTGGTGATACTAATTTGTAAGAAGTTGGAATTAGAGGTGGTCCAGGCAGCTTAGGAGAGGTAGGGAAGCTAATTAGCTTGCAGATTTGATGACTTTGCTGGAGAATTTTTGGTTTGTTGATGGTTTAGATAGGTGGTGTTGGATTGGTGATGGTGCTAATGATTTCTCGGTTTAAGGGCTTAGAACTTTGATTGGCAAATTCGGTAATGGGAGTGGTGATGAGAAGAGAGGGTTGGAGGACGTCATTGCTGATAGAAATAAAGCCTCTCCTATGGGACTTGCACCGATCGAATAATCCTAATCATAAGTCATTTTCATATTCGTTTCGTGAGTGTTAGCGATTCAATTTCCTTGAGGATGGGGTGAGAGAGCTGCAAATGCTGATGGTGGACGAAGTGTTGGTTGATAAGGACTATACATCGTCGTCGTTCAGGCCTGAAGAGTTAGTGTGGGTCGGAGATAGTGGAGGTGGGTGAGGGGTGGAGATGAAGGAGAGGAGATATTAGAGAACAGATTGAAACGAATGTAGAAGAAGAAAATAATGTTTAAAATTTTGGGGATTTAATTTTTCCTCTAAGAGGAGAGACGTGTGTTTCTTAAAAAAAATATATAAAACAACATTGAGGATGAACATTTTAAATAAAGTGTCCTCGATGTTTTTAATTTTTTTTACATGAGACACTAATTTAAGGGCACGCAATAATGCGTGACTTAAATCCTTAAATTTTTTTGAAGAGATGAGACTTTTTTTATGACACTCTGTTTTGCGTAATATACATCAATGAGTGTCATGGTTTGCACACCGTAAAAGGATCTTTTTCGTGTAGTACAAGGTTGGCATTTAATATATATATATATATATATATATATATATATATATATATATATATATATATATATATATATATATATATATATATATATATATATATATATATATATATATATATATATATATATATATATATATATATATATATATATATATGACGAAAGATGTGGCTTAACAGGTGATTGTTAAACAAATATCATTGTGGATGGGTGATCATCAAGTACAAGGTTGGCATGTAAAAGTATAACAAAGTACATTCCAATTACATTTATTCTTTTTTACAGAAACTAATATTTTACTGCAACTTAGATTTTTTTACAAAAACATTTTTCAACTTTCATAAAGTACATTGATTTTCTAACTACATTGTCAAGACCATCCTATTTTCTACAATATGATTTTTTTACACTATTGGAGTACTGGTCTTTTAGCACATGTAGCCAACAAATGAAGAAACTATGCATATTTCCCAAAAAGCGCTTGTAGAATTCATCTAAAGTAAGTGGTGCTTATTTAGTAGAACAATATCTACTCGTGCACTGAATTAGTGAATTCTGTCAACTCTACAAAATAAAGCCTTAAAATATGTATTTAATAAAGTGATGCACATACACTGTTAAATAAAATAACTATAATTACTAGGCAAATAAATTTCAAAGTAGTACTGTTTAATTACTAAATATTTTCTGATATTATAAAATTCATGCAACTCGATCCATAAACGGAAGGTTATCAACATCATGAACCAAAATCCATAAAATTATAAAATATCATTCAAAATGCAGATGAACGCCACATGAGAGTTAACCACTTAACCCGACATCAGATTTTCAGAACACAATATCCTGCATAAACAGTTCAAGAGAGTGAATATTAGGAGATTAGTTCAACTTTAATAGTCTAAACACAAAATAGTAAGACAATTATCAAATGAATTGTGTTCTCTGTAACAAATTACGCTCTAGTATGTATCTTCTTTTTCCATAATCATAAAGGTCTCATAGAAAAGATATGACAAATTTCAAGTAAAATAATTTGAATGAACCAGTGTTATAAGTTTATAATGACACAAATTGCAAGCATCAGTCAAACACATGCATAGAGTTCTATAGAACAAGCCAACTAATAACGATATTTTAGACATTTAACAAGTTTGAATTGATAAACTTTACAATAGGGGAATATGGTCTACTTTTGGTGATCACCATTATCCCAACGCCAAAGAACCACTTCAGCGCCATCATGCAAACCACCAAAATTTTCAAATTGCCTCCCTGCATCGAGTTTTAAGTGCATATTTTCGACTGGCCTAACTTGCATGTTTACACTCATCACCCAAGCTACATCCGTTACTCCAAAGAACAGCCACATCGAGTTCATCAGGGTTGTATTTTGTCAGCTGAACCTAAAAAAGAAACCAGCGAATCGGTGTAAAAATGCATAACTATTTAATCTACAAACAGGTTTTCTGTTGAACGACGTACAGTATACGCTACACCAATAGGATATTTTACAGCTTGTCCAGTGACTTTGTTGACCAACGCAAAAGACGAAAAATCCTCCTCATCCTTGATGTTTTTGCCAAATTTATCATCTTTGATCCAATGCTGTTTAGATGTCAAACAAATCAGTGACGAAATTTGAAGAAGAAGTAAGCACATGAAGACTCAGAAAATGAAAACAAAGAACAGAATGTACCTGAAGAGGATCAGATGCGTTAGAGGCAGCAAGAATCATTTTTCCGCCTCGGATAGTGAGAGAAAAATCAGTTTTCGCCTTTGTATAAACCCGATATGTAGGTTTATTTTCCATATATGTTGCGGGGTCTGGTGATTCCCTGGTGACAAACATGGCAGATATATAGGTTTCTGCGGTGGTGGCAGAGAACATGGCAGATAGGTTTCTGCGGTGGTGGCAGAGGCTGGTTTCCCTCAATGCAAGAAGCAGAGGCGGCAGGTAGTTGATCATAGTGGCTGTTGGGTTTTGGAGTTGGTGGTTGAGGCGGATAAGGTGGAGGAGGACCTGGGTAAAGTAAATCAAAACTCCTGCGCAGCCATCAACTCCATAACATTGGAAGGAGGTGTGTACGTAAGGCGGGTAATGCGGTTGTTCAGGCTGCTTGTTGTTGCTGGAGCTGGCTGCATTGTCGTCATGGTTAGAGGTGGTGCGGTTGTGGTTATTATAATTGTATATAGTCATTTCCTGTAAACAAGAGGTAAATAAAATTTCAAACTTGACATTGCAGACCATTAAACTCTTCTGCGAGGGAAAGGTCCTATCACTAACACTGTACTAACACTGTGGGGGAGGGCTGAAGCCTGAAGGTTTCTCAATGTTTTCACACGTCTTGGCCTGAGATGGTGCGCCTCCCCACACGTGAACACTGTCCCCAAGTCCGGTGGGTTGTGTGTGGCGGAAGACATGAAAATGCTAGCTTTGATTGGCCCATTCAATTTGGAAGGTTATATTCAACCGTTTGGCCATTAGAAAAAAATCTTTTTATTATTTTTTTAAATTCTCTCTCTTTATATATATATATATATATATATATATATATATATATATATATATATATATATATATATATATATATATATATATATCCATTTTACATATAATTTCCACTAAACCACATGCATATTTTTTCAAAATAAACACACACATTAAACCAAAAAATGGATAATTTTCCACCTCCGATTTCTTCGTCATCCGATTATAACAATTCTGATGAGGATTTGATTTTGTGTACGTTGTTGTCCGTGGCCACGAGACATGGTACGTGAGAGGGGTGAAAGTTCAAACGTCGAGAAGAAGCATAGAAAAATGATCAGCCGGGATCGAGAGGCACATGAACTTTTGTACGTCATTATTTTCTTGTTGTTAGTTTATATGATCTATCAAAATTCGAAGAACGTCTTTGTATTAGTACAAATTTATTTTTACATATAGCTAGAGATTTGATAGGTAATTATGAATTTTTCCAATTATGATGGGATGCTAGATGTAAAGACGGTTTTGCTACGATACAAAAATATACGACCTATTTTAGACAATTGGCATACAGCATCGCCGCAGACGTATCAAATGAGTATCTAAAAATGTTTGAAAGGACAGGTCGAGAGGGTACATATTTATTTTGTGAGTATGTTATAGAGATTTACTGTGACATATATTTGCGACATCCGATTAAAAGCGATGTCAAACAGTTGTATACCGCACATCAAGCTAAACATGGTTTTCCATGGATGCTTGGTAGTATTGATTATACACATTGGGAGTGGGCAAATTGTCCCAACGCGTGGCGTGGTTAGTTCATACGAGTTGATCATGGGGTGCCGACTTTTATTTTGGAGGCGGTTGTTTCAAATGACCTATGGTTTTGACATGCATTCTTTGGTATGACGGGGGTCAAACAATGACCTGAATGTGCTCCAAGCGTCTCCGATATTTAACGATATTTTATAGGGTAAAGCACCATAAATGTCGTATGTTGTCAATGGAAATGAATATAAATATGGGTATTGCCTAGGTGATGGGATATATCCAGAATGCGCTACATTTGTCAAGTCATACACATTTCCGGCCGACGATAAACAAAAAATGTTCAAGTTAGCACAAGAATCTACAATGAATGATGTAGAACGGGCGTTTAGGTTCTTCAAACAAAAGTAGCACATAATCAAACATTCAACACGAACATGGGACAGGGAAAAATTGACGACAGTGTTGACTGCTTGTGTTATTTTACATAACATGAGAATAGAATAAGAGGGTTGGGTATTTGTTTATACTTAATCCACCTACACTAATACAAGTTGGCAGCCTAACATGCTTCTCAAGGGTTTTGGAAATACAAAACCGTGAAACACATCAAAATTTGCGACATTATTTGACTGAATACATATGGGAAAGATAGTTTCAAGGAAAAATTGACTTTGAAGTAGAGGAGGATGACGATGGTGACGACGAACAGGATGAGGATGGTGACGACGAACAGGATGATGATGGTGATGACCAGGCGGATGATGTCGGTGACGACAACGATGACAGTTAGAATTTTTTTATGTTTTTTTTAATTTTTATTTTATTTAGACATTGTAATGTTTAATTTTAGTAATTTAAGTTTTAAATTTCTATGTTTTTAATCAATGAAATGTGGTTTTAATTTTTTATGTTTTCAAAAAAATTAATTTATGTTATAAAATATGTTTTTTATTTAATATAATGTTAAAAAAAATAAATAATAATAATAATAAATTTGTGGGGTGGTAACCATATCCAATGTTTAGTGGGTTGGTGGTGAAGTTAGAGCACCCCAACTCGCCAAGTCCATGCATAAAACCTTAAAAATTGGATAAATTAAATAATACCTGGAAAGAGGTGTTACATTTTCATCCAAATGTTGATTTGAGAAATTGGATGTTCAAGGAAAGAAAAATGAACCTTTTAAACCTAAACATCCACACATTCCAAACCCTTATTTGAAGTATTAGCTCAAAGTATCATTTGCGCAAGGAGAAGTGATGTGAAGAACATCAATCATTGGCTAGAAAGAAAATGAATATTATATCCATCGGGAAAGTACTCTCAAGAGCAAATTTAATTTGCTAATGAGACATACATGAATGATTCGATGTGTGGAAGTTCTTTGTCACAAGAGTCTAATCCGACTGTGAAAAAGCGGAAAAAAATTCCTAAGAAGAAAGATGATGGATTTCAGAAAAAGGACAAAAAAGTGAAAATTAATGTTGAACTTATAAAGCCAATGGAATTGATTTAATTGACAGTTCAAGTAGAATGTTTGTCGTTGGGTTATAGTTTTGTCATTTCATAATGCATTTCAAGCTAATGTTCAAGGACCCAAAAGGTCTTGGGGAACTAAAATTTTCTAACTGATTGCAGGTACTATGTGACGAGCAATATGATGAGAATTGATACATTGATAGTAGATGCTCACGTCACATGAATGGAAGGAAGGAGAATTTGACAGATTTTCGAAAGCTGGATAATGCAGGAGTCACAAAGTTTGGAAATTACAACAAATGTAAAGTCTAAGGATATGGCAAAGTGACGAATGGAAAATTCACGGTGAATAGGGTGGTGTATGTCGATGGATTAAAACATAATCTTATTAATGTTTCACAACTTGTTGTGGGCACTAGAAATCAATTTGTGTTTGATGAAGAAGGAATCATTATCTCTAACAAAGAAACAAAGGAGATTATTATTAAGTCAAAATGAAAAGGAGACATGTTCACTCTCAACATGAAACCTATTGTTGATTTCCCTCTGTGTCTTTGCTGTTGAAAGCTTCCTCAGACCTCAGCTGGTTATGGCATCGACGTCTATCCCATCTTCATTTCAAAAATCTTAACACATTGGTTTTAAATGATTTTGTTTGAGGCTTACCTGTCTTAAAATTTCATAACGATTCATTGTGTGCTTCTTGTGAACAGGATAAGCAACATCGACAAGGTCATCCATTTGTCATTGATTCCAAAATCATTGAACCTTTGGAACTTCTTCACATTGACCTATGTGGACCTTTCACTATTTAGAATCTTAATAAGAAGTACATATTAGTCATTATTGGTGATTTTTCAAGGCTTACTTGGGTTTTCTTTCTTCGACAAAAGTCTGAAACTACTCAAGTGATGATTGACTTCATCAAAAACATCGATTTGATTTTAAAGAATAAAGTTCGAAGTATTAAGAGTGATAATGGAACAAAATTCAAGAATCAAATTCTAGATTTATTCTTGACAAAGTTAGGAATTTCGCATAATTTTTCGTCTCCTTACACACCACAAAAAAATGGTGTTCTCGAAAGGAGGAATCGTTCTTTATGTGAAGCTGCATTAACCATGCTTAGATATGAGAATTTGCCTCAATATCTTTGGGTAGATTTTGTTTCGACTACTTGTTTCACATAAAATCATTTTTTCATTCATCGTTGTTTCAACATCACACCTTATGAGAAAATAAACAAAAGACAATCTAATGTTAAATTCTTTCATGTTTTTGGATGCAGATGTTTCATCATGAATCATAAAGACAATCTTTCTAAATTTTAGTCGAAAGCCGACGATAGAATTTTCTTGGGATATTTACACAACTTTATTTCCTATAAGGTGTTGAACAAATGAATGAGAAAATCGAGGAAACTTTCAATCTTACATTCGATGACCATACGTCAAGAGAGTAGAATGGTTGTTCATTCTGAAGCTTATAATTACTTAAACAAATGATGAATCTGAAATCATGAATTCTTATGATGTTGATTATGATTTGATTTTTGGCATTCTAGATAGAAGAGTTGATACTGAAAACCTTGATGATGATAATCATGCTCCTGAAGCATCAAAACATTTTGATGATTTGACTGTTACAAGGGAAGAAAGTGATACACATTCTATATCATCTTCAAGAGGGGGAGCAATTGATTCCGAGATTACATGATGACAATCATGATTCAACTGTTGAGGGGAGCATATACGAACTATAACTTAATTCAAGGGGGAGCATGTACTGGATAATTAAGATGTCAAGGGTGAGCATCAAAACTCAAATCCATTGGGAGCCAAGCGGATCGAATCTTAATAATATTAATGATCAAACTAATGATTTTCATGATGTCACTAATAATATTTTGAATACGGGAGAAGGTTCAAAAGTGGATGATATTTTCGAAGATGCGCCTTTAGATTTTGATCCTGCATATCCACCGATAGATAAGTGGACACAAAATCATCCAAAGGAATAGGTTCTTGGTAATCCAAATTCTAGAGTATTGACACGATCCTAGATTTGAGCTAAAAATGAAGTGTTGAATGTGTATCAAGAATATTGTATGTTTATTGTGTTCATTTCGAAACTAGAATGAAAAACAATAAAGGTTGCATTAGAACACTCTGATTGGTTTGTTGCAATGCAATAGGAACTGGATGAATTCCAACGAAAAAAAACGTTTGGAGGTTGATTCCTACACCAAAGGGTGTTTCGTTAATTGATTTAAAATGGATTTTCAAGAATAAAATCGATAAAGAAGGAAATGTGATTCGAAATAAAGAAAGATCATTCGTCAAAGGTCACTCTCAACAATAAGGTAATGATTATGAGGAAACCTTTGCCCCTGTTGGACTTGAGGCAGTACACAAAAAGACTTGAGGCAATACACATTTTTATTGCTTATGAAACGCATAAGGATTTCGAAGTTTATCAAATGGATGTTAAATGTGCATTCTTCAATGGAGTTATATAGGAAACGGTCTATGTCGAACAACCAACTAGTTTTTTCAATGATAAGTATCATGATCACTGTTGTATTCTAGATAAGACAATGTATGGGTTGAAACAAGCACCTTGTGCCTATTATGAAACTCTGACCAATTTTTTGAAAATTTCTAACTTTTAACAAGGATCGATTGATCCCACTTTATTTCGAAAGAAAGTTGGCAATCAGCTGATGCTTTTTCAAATTTATGTTGATGACATTATTTTTGGTTCGACTGACTCTTTTTTATCTAAGGAATTTGAGGAGCTCATGAAAAGTCAGTTCGAAATGAGTATGGTGGGGAAAATAATAATTTTCTGGGTTTGCATATTCATCAAACCAAGGAAGGCATATTTATTAATCAGGAAAAATATATACGCAACCTGCTTGAAAGATTTGGAATGACGAATAGCACTAAAGTAAAAGTACCTATGGATATTGGAACTCACTTGAATCCTTTGTTGGATAAGCCTGTAGTGGACTTAACGACATATAGAAGCATGATATTTTTGCTTTTGTACTTAACTACAAGTCGACCTGATATTATGTTTACTATATATAATTATGCTAGCTACCAATCGAAACCAAGAGAACCCCATCTCAATGTTGTTAAGAATATTTTTCATTATCCAAATGAACAATTTTGTTGGGCTTAAGGTATCCATTGAAGACATGATTCTTTATACAAACATTCTCAGTTGCGGATATAGGTGGATGTCAACTTGATCGAAAAAGCACGACTAGCGGATGTCAGTTATTGGATGGAAAGCTTGTAAGCTGGCAATCGAAAAGGCAAACTTGTGTTTCGATTTTGACTGCAAAAGTCGAGTATGTGGCTGTTACAGCATGCACAGCACAAGTTATTTTGATACAAAGCCAATTGTGCGATTATGCAATCAATATGAAGAAAATAGCTTTGTATTGTGACTCGCAAAGTGTCATTCACATCTGTCATAATCTAGTACAACATTAAAAACCAAACACATTGCTCTTCGATATCACTTCATGAAGGACTATATAGAAGATGGGAACATTAAGGTCCATTTTGTAAAAACAACAAATCAACTTGCAGATATTTTCACAAAACCTTTAGAAGAAAGCCATTCTTGAGGATTTTGAATGGATTGGGAATGATAGAAGAAGTTATGTTCCAGGTTCTTCTTGATCGAATTGATGTCTATTCGTTGGTGTGTTTTTTGAATTGTTAAGAGGTTACTGTTTCAGTTCAATGTTCGCATGCGTTCGCATTCAACTTTACTCTGAACCATTCTGACCTCAATTCGCTTTTAGGGGAGAAAGTTGTTCAATGAGCAACATAATTGGTGGTTGATAATTGCTAGGTCAAACGTCTTTCTGTAGCATTTTAAAGTTTGTTTTTTGTTTGTTCAGTTTCAAATATCAAAAATCCAAAAATATTTTCTTATTTTTGTATTTGATTTCCAAAAACGAAAAAATTCAAAAAGATTTTTTTTATTTTTTTATTTGATTTCCGGAAAAACAAATTTTCCAAAAAGTTTTTCTTATTTTTCGATTTGATTTCCAAAAACAAAAATCCAAAAAGATTTTATTGTTTTTATTTCATATTTTAGTTAACCATTTGTATCTTAGTGTAACAAAGTGTTGCTGAGGTGCATGCTCAACGATCATACCTATCATGGGGACATGTATTCATTTGAACTGATATACTAGTTAAGCATCCTTAAAAGTCTGTTGTCGTATGTTGACCTCAATCCTTATAGACTTTATGTGTTCGAATCCTTAATGGAACTCTTATTACAAAAGTTTCTTCCCAATTAGGTTGTATTCACATTAGTGAAAGAGCTACCTTTCTCTTCTCATATTAAGTAAAGAGATTTCTACAATGTCCATATTTTTCGTAGAGGCAAAATGAGTTCTTAAACCCAATGTTTTTCATCAAAATTTCTTTCATGATCGCACACTTCACTGTCTATCCTCGACATCTCTGGTCGAAACCTACCAGAATGTAGATATGGAAATACTATGTGTTTATGATCCTGGATCATTCTTCCGTGATGATAGTGAAACCTAAAAAAATCCAACTATCAAGGAATTAACGGTGAACAATTTTGTTCAAGATTTTAACAAAACACTTGTTTCAATACCTTTTTCGATATTCAAAATTTCATTCCATTCGACTTGTGTGATTTAGGTGAAATGTTCTAAAACCAATATATTTTTGCCCAACAAGAGCCAATACTTAATTTTGTTTGGAATGTGATTTTCGTGTGAGTGTCTTTCTAACTTCTTGTTATTACAATTTATACACAACATTACTTGTTCTTGACTAGTCTTCCACATAATTTTGGTGAATTGAATCACACTTATGTTAAGTTTCGGTGTTGAGAAAAATTGAGCCTACCTTTCGAAACCAATAGAAGAGATGCGCTACGATGCTTATCAATGAGTATTCGATTGTAATTTACGGGAAACCACATAAGCAGTTCATCATCTATCATGATGTCGAATGACGAGATCTTTGACCGGGATCCAACAACTTTCGTATAAAATGCAATTTGATATCACAAAACCCACATTTTTTAATTTGCTTCTCTCGCATTCTTTGGCACACAATTGCACTGGAATTCTTGAGGTTTTGGGTATTACCAACTTGAAACCAAGATTTCGCAAAGTCTGGTACATGATTTCGCTTTCAAATCCCAAAAGTGAATGAGCCCACCCTCTATGTGAAGGAAGGATGTTCTCTTGGTATCGAAACAACAAAATGTGCTTGATCATAGTTCGAAATAAGTGGTGGCTCTTATCAGGTTGAGAACAACGAAAGATCAGATGAACATGACGGTTCAAGATTTTCATGAGATTTAAGGAAAATGTGATGATCACTTTTATGACATGGAGCTTTTCACGGTGTTGATAAAGTAACCAACACAATACGTGACAGTGTATTATTTGTTACCGATTCAAATTCATAAATACTGTCGATTATAAAAGGAAATTGTTGGACTCGTTTTCAGACTTTATGCTCTCATATCAAATTTCCTAAAATCTCTAACTATTCATTATCTTCAACAATCCTTGAAATCACAATAATGGCTAATCCTCAAACCAATGTTGATCCCACAAACACTACTAATGAAGAAGAAATCTCACAATCTTTGATGAAAATTCAGAATACGAATCTCAGATTGCTTCCAACGGTTGATCAATATCTAGAGCAATTACGAATGTTGATTCAAACCCTAAATAACGTTGTTCTCTCTACAGTGTTATCTTATTCATTTGTAGTTCCAATGTCTTTGATTTCTCTTGCTGGTTCCACAACGGTGTTCAATAAAACCACGAAGGTCGTCCAGTTTCAACTGACGAATTCAAAGATGAGAAGCTTACGAGGAAGCACTTTGTACAAATCATGAAGTTGCCGATCTCAGGTACTTTCTATGAAGTTACTAATGATCAAGCTCTTCATGTGTTTAATGGGATGGGGGCATCAACCAGTTCTAAATGGAATCAATCACTTTAAAAAATCGAGTCTACCCTACATATGGAGTTTTCCTTTTGAAATCGTATTATGTTGCTTAATAGGTCGAAGTTTAGGGTTAGACAAAGCCAAATTGGAAATCTATTCCATTATTGATTGGCTTTACTATGGTCTAGATGTGGATTATACCACATATCTCTTGGAGGAATTTGGAACAACAATTACTCACACAAATCTGACAAATGGTGTCTCGTGTGCTCGAAAACCCTACTTTGTGCTACGATGGCACCCTCGCACCCGAAGGCTCCTCCTATTCGAAAGTCAACTCTCAAACCAACACTCTTCAATGTTCGCTTTGATACTAAGTGTAAGGTATTAACTTGGCGATGCCTTAATGGCCAAAACAATATATGCAACACGTACAATAAACTTGTTGAATAAGTAACTACTTTTGAATTAAACTTAATACTTGAGTGAAAACAATAAAAAAATATATCTTTATTTATACCATATACATGAAAGAAACCTAATCTAATTCAAAGACCTTAAATAAGGAAACTTTCAAATTTTACCATTTAAACTCTCCAAACCGATTAACCCAACAAGGCTTGCCTTTGACGATAATACTAAATAGTTATTCCAAACCGCATCATACACTTATCACCTCAATATCCTAATCGAAACCCCTAAAGTTTGCCGCATATATATAACATGAGGCGTGCGAATAGAATCCCCTATTAGACTGAAGTGTATGGAAGGGATGTTTTCCTCACTTTTTGTGGGTTACACCACCATTTCCCTCACTTTCCTATTGCTCACCTAAAACCCAAGGAATTGGTGGGAAACTCTCATCACTATTTTTTTTTATTATCTTTTTTAAAATATATCACTACAAGGAAAAATGCCATTACCGGCGACAAAAGTCGCCGGTAATACTAATAGCGGCGACTTGTCGCCGGTACTGCCTCGTCGCTATTATTCAGTTTGTCGCCGCTAATGATAAAAGTCGTCGTTATTGATCCTGTCGCCACTAATGAGTATTGTCGCCGCTAATAAGCTAGTCGCCGGTAATGACTTCTGTCGCCGGTAAAAGTGTCGCCGCTAATAACTTTTGTCGCCGGTAATTGTTTTTCAATTTTTTAATTTTTTTTTAATTAATGATGGTTGCCGGTGATAATATCGTAGGTAAAAGTGTCGCCGGTAATAACAATCTTCGATTAAATATCAAAACCAATAGTGTCGACGCTAATTACATAACAAACATCCTATTAAATATCAAACATAATAGTGTCAGTGCATACAAACAAACATCCAAATACAATTAAATATCAAAAGTCATAATATCTGAGTAGCAAAACAACAAAATTTTTACAATCTACCAAGTAGCAAAACGTGACAACATATGCAAATAAAACCATCCTTACATACCATCATCGTCGTTCACATCGTTTCCTTGATTATTTTGGGATTGAAAAAACGAATAAAGCTCATCCCTACATGCCGGGTCGGCGAGCATTGCACGAAAATTTTCTAACTACATAATTAGTAACAATATATATAAACTTATAAGTTAGAGCGTCAAACATAAACAAAAACTATCAAAATACATTTTTATTTTTAAACTAATATAGAAAACCAAAGTATATTGCTATTTCTTGCACTTGGGACAAAAACCAAATTACCAAACTTTTTAGCAGATAATCACCACAAAACCAAAACCACCAAATCAACATGCATTTTACGATGCTAAAGTAGATTGCTATTTTTAAACAAAGATAGAAAACCAAAGTACATTGCTATTTCTTGCACTTGGGACAAAAACCAAATTACCAAACTTTTTAGCAAATAACCACCACAAAACCAAAACTACCAAATCAACATGCATTTTACGATGCTAAAGTAGATTGCTATTTTTTAACAAAGATAGAAAACCAAAGTATATTGCTATATTTTGCACTTGGGACAAAAACCAAATTACCAAACTTTTTAGCAAATAACCACCACAAAACCAAAACTACCAAATCAACATGCATTTTACGATGCTAAAGTAGATTGCTATTTTTAAACTAAGATAGAAAACCAAAGTACATTGCTATATTTTGCACTTGGGACAAAAACCAAATTACCAAACTTTTTAGCAAATAACCACCACAAAACCAAAACTACCAAATCAACATGTATTTTACGATGCTAAAGTAGATTGCTATTTTACCTATGATGGTTGTGATGGTGGTTGTGATGGTTGCGAAGGCTGTGGAATCGTCGGGAGACTAGAAGGTTTGCGGTCAATGCCTCTAATGTGGCCACGTCTCTCTCCTAATACTTTCTTGAAAGTCACTCTTTCTTGAGCGGGCGTTAACTCACTTTCACCTTGAGTTTGTTCTAACAGCTCTTCAACTAACCGATTCTGTAACTCCCAAAAGTGAGTAACAATTAAGTATAAATAAACATTTAAATATATGATAAAATTATAATTAAATACTTACATATTGTTGTTTCGATTCAACAGTAACAAATACACCATTCTTATCGGTATGAGCTTTGCGAAATGTTTCCACTCTCTTAAGGTTTTGTTTAACTTTAAAAATTAGATTATATTTTAAATAAATAATTATGTGTATCATACGGTACCTTCTTATAGCAACAACTGCTATACGAGCTCGAAACCCCACGATTCATATTTGTTTGCTTTTCACGAATTTTTTTGTTCCTTTCTGAAGCAATTATGTGTTCGTCAGTTTGAAAATACTCAACTGTCTTTGCCCAGTTATCAACAAGCATACCATCCGGAGGATTTGCCAATGCTCTCGAGATATCTTCATACCCTCCAACCATCTTGAAATATTCTTTTGCGTCGGCTTTACGCTCTCGAAAACCTTTTAACAAGGTTGCTTGAAAACTCTCTGTCAATAGAGTAGCTTGTGCATCCTGGTACATTTGATTGAGATCAAACATTATCTACAAAAAAAAAAAAAAGAATAAAAATAAAAATAAATAAATAAATAAAAGTTAACCAAGTAAAAAACAATTATAGTTAAATCTATAAAATATATTTAAATAAATAATTACCGCTAAATTTTGTAATATAGTGTTCTTTAAATGTTGTAATACAGTGTCCATTTGTCCTTTATATTTAAATAAATAATTACCGCTAAATGTTGTAAGATATTATGTTGTTGTGTTCTTTTTAACGTCGAGATTAAAATACATAGCATCCTTTAACCTATTTTTATGGTAACCGATTATTATTGGTTATAGAAATATAATCTTATGAACTAATTTGAAGATTATAGGTTAACTATATAACTTATTGGTTAATTAATTTGGAGTTAGTTTGAGTAAAAACTAAAACTTTCTAGTTTTTGTATATAAGTTTTTAAACAATTAATATATATATATATATATATATATATATATATATATATATATATATATATATATATATATATATATATATATATTTATGTTTTTTTTTCCAATTATAACAATAATTAATTTTTATGTATATAAGTTTTTAAACAATTTTATAATTTCTTTTGTGTTTTTTTTTCAAATTATAACAATAATTTTTTTTTCAATTATAGCATCCTACTTATACTAAAACCACGTAGTTTTATATAATACATAAGAAGATGAAATTCACATACTTTTACATACATATACCACATATACACCAAATACAAATACATACACATACACACAAAATAACATCCTACTTAAACCAAATACACATAATTTCACATATATACATAATAATATCCTATTTATACCAAATACAAAAGTTTCACAATCATATATCACATTTACAACAAACATACATACATTCACATACAGACAATAACATTCTACTTATAACAAATACATATAATTTCTATCAAATACTAATATACCAAATATACATCAAACACACATACATTGGCATATATATACCAAATTCACATATATTCAAACAAATACGAAATATACAATCCAATTTTCACATATCACAATTTTCACATAATTTCACATATAAATACAAAATTCACAAAAAAAATGAAATAATAGTACCTGTAGTGGCGGAAATCAACGGATATGTAGCCGGAAAAA